GAAACGTTCCGCCGCGCGAGGGTCGTTCGATCGGAACTAATTTTTGCGTAACGGATGGAAAGAAAATTATCCACTGTTTACGTAGCCTTTTGCCGGGGAAAATCGGTTCGAAGATTCTAGTACTTTCTACTGTTTTCTTGATTCTAATTATTCCTGGCTTTTTTTTTCTCTTCTGTTTCTGTTTCGCGTTGCGACACGCTATCGCGAGTTTTCCCTTCTAAACAGTGCAGAAAATGCTGCTAAGCGATCTTAACGAGCTGTTCGAGTCGTTTCTCGGATCCGATCTCGCGTAAATATTCACGGTTTCGGGAACTAGTTAAATAAATAATAATAATATCACGTTATTTGTTACAACGTGCAGATAGAAGCTCATAACATTTTTCTATTTTGACAAAAACATTTTTATGAGGCAATCGACGAATTCAAAATCCAAAATTCGACTCGTAGAATTTTGTTTTAAATTTTGATTTAAATTGTTATCTAATTCACGTTTCCTTTACGACGACATCGGAGAAAGTAAACGAATTATTATACTCTCGCTGGGCGACAAAAATTTCGACGTTTCCTGACAGAAGAAACCTAACCTAAAACCTGATTTTTTACTCGAATGATATTAATATTGCTATTCGGGTTTTAAGAGATTTTGTTGACCAGTAAAGGATCACGTGTACTCGTTACGGACGTTAAAATTATTAGTGCATTAAATATAAACCGATTCTTTTGGCCGCCATGTTTAATCCGGTGGTCGAAAAGATACAATCTTTTAATAAACTTTTCCCAGTGTTTTCCAGAAGGAAACATTTCTAAACAGTTGGTCGCGGCGAAAGTGAGAATAATTCTGTTCTTTTTTTTTTTTTAATTGCACTCCATTTGTCATTGCTGGTGGCGCCATGGAAACGCGGCGTCCCACATTCCGCGGTAATTACGAACGGGAGAAGTTCGCGAATCGAGATCCGACGTCGTTAAGGAAAAGTGAAATTTAGGAGATTCCCATGGTTAGCCGAAGTATTTTCTAATCCGCGTCGTCGTGTTCCGCGTCGCTCGGACGATCGTTGATAATTGATAAGGGGCGGTTTCTATCGTCCAAGGTGACGCGGCGTGTGAACAACGTCTCGAGACACGGCCAGTCAACAATACAGTTAGCTCGGGGAGAGAAAATCTTTTCAGAGAACGTTCACCTTGCTGCCGGTGCGTGCAACGGGCAACCCACTTTCCGTTGTGGTACGTACCTTTCCATTAGAGAGACGCAAAAATGCGCCGCAGCATCCTCGGGACGCTTTCGTGTCGACGTCTTCGAATCGAGCGTCTTAAAACGTTCGTCAATAACGACGGTGGCACGAGCCAAGAAACCAGGGAAATTAACGTTTTTATCGGTCTTACGTTGCGTTTATTTATATTTCGATATTAAAAGGATAAATGTAATTATTCCCACTCGTATTGGTACAGTATAATGACGATTCGTTGTAATAAAAATTGTCAACGGTCGTGGGTGCGTTGCGAGCGACGCTGCTCGTCCGATCACCGAAGTGCAGCTGCATTGGGACGCGGTCGAATCCCAGTACTCTTTGGGATGGGTGACCGCTCGGGGAAAAAAACACACGTCAGAGTTGTGTTTTAACTTCTCCTATACCGTTTCATGTTATTATATCTCTCTATCAGTTATTACTACCAGTAACTGAATTACTAGTCCGTTAAAAATTCATTAAACAGGAAAAAAATAACATTCGACAAGAAAATAAATGGAAATAAATATTCATAAGAAACAAGTTTCTCCTCATTTACAGTGAATCACCATAATAGTGTACAAGTATGAGTTCGAGTGGGAGTAACTGTATATTCCTGTGACTAATAAACGAGTTTGGATAACTACTCCATAACCTAATCGGCGAAATAAGTTTATTCCGGATTCCGGAAGGAGTAATTTCCACTATCGCGGTTAAATGACCAATCATGCTCGAGTTGTCTTCGTCTCGATCGGTGTAAAAGTAATTTGCTGTGCCCACGATCGAAAATAGAGAACCCCGAGTCGTGTTCCGATTAGAAACACACGTACGATTGATGGTGTTCCCATCGGGCAGGGCAAAAGTGTGCCGTCGATTTCCATCTTTCGAGCGACGAAGGCACGACGAGAGTGCAAATCTACGTCATCGTGTCCTGTAATGCAAGCCTGCCAGTGCTCACGTCGCGTAATGACGATGATTACCCGTCATAATGGTCCGCTAATTGATAGCCAGCCGGCAAAAGGGGTTGGCAGGATTTCTAAAGAAAGCCTGTGGGAGCGAATGGTCGTGCGCCCGTCTCCGAGGCAAATTGCAATACCGATTTCATCCTCCTCCATATTGCATGCGACGCGAACCCCGTCGATTTCCTTCCTGTTCTTTGCTAACCTGCCGCTGGGCTGTGTAAATCAAACCTAGGACGCTTCTTAGCCAAAAATTAAAGAAATTCTTTTGCAATCCCTTCGAAGTATTTCGAATGAGAAATCGTCGTGGATGTGTTACAAAACTAATAATTATCACGGTAACCATTATCGAAATTTTTTTACAATTTTATATAACAAATAGACTCGAGCTAATAAGTTCTGTCGAAAAAACACATTTGAATTTTTAAAAATTCGACACCACGACGAAGGCTCATCGAGTCGAACGAACGTTAAATCACTTTTCTTTTCCCGAGGTTAGGTTAGGTACCCTTTGGTTATCCAAGTTATGCCCCGAAATGGTAAAACTTTCTCGCGGATCGAACGGCAGTGGGAAGATCGAAGTGTGCAAAACCAGAAGCTAGAGTCGGTAGTCGAGCCATTCCGGCTGCCTTTCATTACGTTCACCGATGTTCTAGAAAGTTGTCACTTCGCGCGAACCGAGCGAGCCCCGCAACCGTCCGACAAACAGAAAACGGCCGGAATCCTCCGAGTTCGACCAGAACCTGATGCAACTAATGTTTCCAGCACGATATAATGGTTTCCTGCTCAACGATCGCAAATTAGATTCTCGAAAGTGACCGGCGCCAACTTCCTTTCTATCGTTATTCGCCAAATATGTACGACTCCAACCGCCATTTTCTACGTCGTCGACTGGCGATGTTTACTCTTGCAGAGCCATCTGACGAGAATTTTTTTAAATATTTCCGACGAACTCGGAGACAATAATGTTTTTAAACGCACCGTGTTCGTGCTTTTAACCTTAAAAAATGTTGAATCGCAGGGAATATGTTGTACGATTTTTCGTTCAAATTTGCCTTGGAAAGAACAACATTTTCCGGTTGTCAACGAGAGTAGCAGCCCCGTTAAGTCTCTGAAACCGTGGGGACCGTTCGCGGCTCGCGTTAATTAGAGCATGTCGCGGTAGCGTATCGCCTTGGCCGGCCATTATTGTTATTATCAGAGGCGATTAAATGTAATTAAAAGCCGGACAATAATCGTCGTCGCTAAAATAATTGGATCGCGTCCCGCGAATTACCTCTTCTCGACAGCCCGAAAAATTTTCAAATAGAAATTTAAATTTAAATTACAGAACTTAAGATATTCCAGAAAGATTCTTTACCGACTAAGTAAAAAAATTAATTATTCCATACGAACAGAACGCAAAGTATGTAAACACATTATTAGAAAGTTCCTAGTCGAATCCTGAATCTTGAAATGTCTTCTGCAGAATGTGAAAGGTCGATTATGTTACAATATCTGTATCTGCACGATGTTTCCTATCTCGGGACGAGTTTAATATGATTGACAGTCACGGTAATTGGCGAAATATATTTAACATGTTTTACAAAGCGATTTTGCAAAATCTTCCTTTTGATTCGAGGAAAATTGTACAGATAAATTACGCTCGATTATTGTTTTGTTGGAATAAAAGTTTGCTCGTCTCCGGATAAGAGAAACCGACTCGTGGAAGCGACGATGAAGCAGCGAGCGTTCCTCGAGGCCTCGAAAGCTGGATAAATATCGCCACGGCAATCATCTGTTGATGCAACTCGTCTTCCTGGTCGCGACATCGGGTCGCGAGTGAAAGTGAACTCTCCTCATGTTATCGCACTATAACCTCGCTCGGAACGATGGAAATCGAAGCCGAGCAACGGCGAGAAACGCTCGATTAACCCCCACCCCTCGTCTTTACCCAATTAAAAAGAAATTTATTCGTTGTTTTCGTTCGCGTTAAAAATGTCGACGAACATTTTTTCGATTTATTTGTATCATAAATATGTATGGTAACGCGCGGTGAAAACGCTTTCTCCTGCTTCTGACCCCCCTCCACTGTTGCTTTTCATATTTATAGCGTCAGCGGTGTTGCAAAGAAAAAATTTCATAATACAAAAGCAATTAAAACTTTTACCACTTTGTGTGGCGTTTTTTTAACACTTTGATTTACCATTATGATACTAGAAAAATTCTCAAACTAAGACGTCGAGGGAAAATAAATAAATTTGAGTTGTGTTTGTGAATTTTAACAAAGTTACCAGAATATCAAATGAAATTTTTATGTTCGCGCAAAACTCAAGACCTATTGAACCGATCTTCCTCAAATTTTGACACGTTATTCCTGCATACTCTAGGACGGACATAGGCTATGTAGCATGTCTCGGAAGCGCGTTATTAACATGTAATTTATATGCAAAGATTTCATGTGTACGACTGTTTGGCAGACCACGTGACCCCTGTATACGACAGTCTACTTGCGCGCGCATGCGCATATTCGGCCCGCGCGATACCTCGCCCGTAGCAGTACTACGATGTTACCGCCAGGTGGCGAAGCTTCTCGAGCGCTTTCTCGCGAGAGAATTGAATTATCGCGGATGTATATGTCAGGACGATCGTCTGGTCATAAATTGTTCATATCATAATAGTTATTTAATATTTATATTAAGTACCGAAACAAATTTTAGGTTATGTCGCTCACGATGGTCCAAAAATCGAAATTTCACTCGTGCAGAATATTGTACGGTTTTGATCTGGCAGTGGACGTGTTAAATAAATTTTTTAACGAACCGATGATGTTGTCCAGGAGTCCAGCGCGACGAAAGAGATTCAGCAGAGTCTCGCGGAGCAAACACCGACGAAGAAGGAGCCCGAACCGGACACCAAGGACATAAAAGTGCAGAAGGACGACGAGAATAATTCGAAGCCGGACAACGAGAACGGCGACCATGACGAGGACGACGATGACTACGACGACGACGAGTTCCCCCCCGTCCATATCAAGTTGCCCCTTCAGTTCGACTTTGACGAAATTGCAGGCGTAAGTTCGCTGGAATTTTATTGAGTAACCTCAGTTGGTGATAACAAATGTTCATTTATTTTTTGTCGAATCCTCAGACTCTGATTCAGGAGGCACGCAGCAGAGTTTCCTGCGTGGTGGAAAGACGAAGGGCTGACCAGGTGATGGACGGTGCTAACAACAATAACGTGGACAACGGTACCGACTCTCGCTACCAAAGACTCAGCGGTGAACGCGTTGCTATTCTCTGCGAGTCTGGCAATCCTCAACAGGAGTACGTATCGTTCAACACGTGAAAGAAATAAAAAACTCCCCGATTTCAATAATTTGGAAGGGGTACAAATTTTCTTGGCTCTATTTATACCTGGAGAACAGTTATTCAGTTTATTTGGGCGAACAAAGAATCGTTAGAGTCACTATGTTGATCGCTGAGACCTTAGACAAATTATAATTGCTAGTTTAAGTTTAACTTTGAGTATTGTAGAAGTCAAGGTGTCCAGAAGTAGCTGTTTGTTTGATGAAACTGTTCTACTCTTAGGCAACAGGAGCAAGAGATGCTGACCCCGATCATCATTCCTCTGGGAACCGTCCAGGTGCCTCTTCAGCCCCAGGAGCCAAACACAGGCTACCATCAGTATCAGGTCCACACTCAGTACCAAGTACCTGACATGCAGCAGTTACCTCTCAGCGACCCACGCGGGATGAACAACATCCCGCCAGGTGTCTTCCCTCCTGACATGCGCAATCTGCCCCAAGTGAACGTGGAGATGAGGCCGCCGCGGATGGGACCGCAAGCGCCCATGATGGGATCCCAGGCGCCCATGATGGGACCCCAGAATCCCGCGATGGGACCTCAAGTGAGGCTCGAACGATTGCAATCTCATTGTACAAGTCCCCTGCACACAGAGAGAATCTTTTACTAAATATGTATCCGTTGTTATTGGTTCTGCCAAGTAAGATTAGTAGTAAGTCTCCTCGACGATTCTCTCAGCGTGTGGGACGTCTGTGTTTCCATAATTTATAAGCGTCAATTTGTTCAGATCGAAGTGCGTCGAATCCCCATCGAGGTGCGTCAGTTCCCCATGAATTTGGTGAGAGGTATGCGACCGCCAATGCCTCAGGAACCGCAACAAGTGATGTACCAACAGGTGGAACAGACACCTGGGATGTACGGTCAGGAACAGGGTCCGGTGATGATGCCTCCTCCAGCTCCACAGCCGGAGGGTCAGGTTCACGAGCAAAGGGTGATCCCACACGTGATGATCCCGCAAACCGAGCAGCGGCCACCTCAAGTGCAACCTCAGATGCCACCTCAGATGCCACCTCAGGCCCAACCTCAGCCTCAGCCGCAACCACAGCCACAGCCTCAAGCACCCGAGCGACCACGGTCTCCCTTCCAAGGAATTCCGTTCGAAATTCGAAGGATCATCCAGCAAGTGCCTTTAGAAATAAAGAATATCATTCAGCACATCACTGGTGAAGCGAGACCAGTCTCTGTTCAAGTACCTGAAGGTGCTCGCCGCGAGGTAATTTTTTTAAAATTTTTATCTTAAAGCAACGCATCGAATGATTTTTAACTAGAAAGAATTTATAAATTGTTTTATAATTGATTTAATAAACTTCGAGTTCATTAAACAATTTTGTTTATCTGTGGGCGTTTCAGAACGTGCAGGAGTTCAAACCGTTCCCGGAAGGCGCGCAGCCCATTCCTCTGGGACTTCCACTTCCGGTAGAGGTGCGAAATCTATTGGAGCATGGAAATATCGAGGGTCGTCAGCGACCGGATGGCTCCAACGAGCAACAGGAAGCTAAGCCTTTCCCTGGACCGGAAGACGACAGCGAGGAAGAAAGGAACTTCCCTGTGCCGGCGGAAATTCGTAACATAATTCACCAGGTATTCACCGACTATATTTCACCATCACGTTGTGAGAGTTGCACCAAATTCTGCTTCAGGGAAACGAAAAATGCAGTGCAATAACCAGACTGCGGATCTTCATGCAAATTCATATTTTTATTAATAAAATTAATGAAATTGGAGCTTTGTAGAGGGCTGTCTCAACCGCTAAATATAATAATTCGTATCTTACTTGAAGTATTTCTTATATTCTTGCATATTAACTAAATTCTGTAGCTTTTTGAAAATTAAAATTTTCCATAAATGCATAAACATCCGCAGTCTAGTAATAACCGTTCGATTAAATTAAATTGATACTTCTTGCGGTGATATTTTATTTGTACATTATACGATAAGAAGTTTCAGTGAATTGGGTATAAATCTCGGTAAATTGAGATGTGCTGGACCAGCAATTTCTCCTTGGGAGTACAACAGGTAGCGTGGCCGAGCGGTCTAAGGCGCTGGTTTAAGGCACCAGTCTCTTCGGAGGCGTGGGTTCGAATCCCACCGCTGCCATATTTTTTTTTTTATTCTCTGCTCAATTTTCCTTCCACCGAATATCGATAACACCCCAATATTCCGTATACTATTATTTTAATAACAGCGATAGTATCTTTGCTTGTTGAAATCCCAACCCAGACCTAACTATAGCCAGAATTGATCTACATTTGAAATAATATTTCGCAACGTAATCATCGCGGAGTGATAAACGGATTTGCAGCGTCAATACGAAGATTATTTTCGAGAGAACGTCTAAAAATAGACACACACGCGCTGCTTTCGAGCAATTATGATTTCATTCATAAACTCAGACACACGCTAGATCGATACTGTTTAATTTGAGAGGTTAGAACCGGTGCTCTGATACAATGAAAATTATTGTTCAGGTCGTAGAGGGCAATGCTTTCCCAGTGCCAAGATTCGCTCTGCCGTTGAGACCCGTGGAGTCTTTGGAAATACCTGTGGAAGCTCGCGCTGAAGTCACGGACGGGCAAAACTCCGAACAAGAATCGGAGCATCGACAACAGGAACAACAACAGACCCACATGATGATTCACCAGCAGCAACAGCAACAGATGCAGCAGCAACAGCAACAGCAACAACAACAACAACAGGAACAAGAAGAAGAAAGTCGTCCACATTGTAAGCAGGGGATTCTTACCATTGTTGCTTTGTGGGGTCCATAGCTTCCCGTAGTCGCCGCCAGAGGGACCGTTCCTCTCGCAGGCATTCAACCGACCCTCCGTCTGTATATATACGATCCCTAACCGACTCTAACTTGGGGTCTGAGGCAGAGTCTGTTAGGTTACCTAACCTCTCTCTTCCTTTTCCATCTAATAATCCACACAGGACCCCCAAAACTTTTCCATGTTGATTCTGCTTATTATTATTGCTCTACTTAAATAGAGAATATATTAACCACGAATAAGAAATTAATATTAGAGTAATTGATCGAAAGGTGCTTGGAGTTTTTTTAAAGCTTTATAAATCTTTGTTTGCTTGTTCACAGATGTGCAACCGCGTTCGGTGCGTTCCATTCCGGATGCGTTCGCCCATCGCCGTGAGAAACGCGTCCGTCGTTGCGCCTGCGATTGCGCTTGTTAATTCTGCGTCCAGAGAATAATCGGATCGAGTTTCCCTGTCTCGTGTCCGATCGAAGCAAAAATGTCCTTAAAAAAAAAAGAAAAAGGCATCTTTGAAGCACGTTTGACCAGTTTCTGTGACCCCCCAAAAAAAAGAATCATGTACATTTTCAGGAAATCCCTACGCATCTTGCATTTCGATGAGTCTCGATCGCATACCCACGACCCAGGTGCCCGACAGAGAAGCAGAATTGGGAACAGAGTCGCAGAGATTAAAAAAAAAAAATGTTTTATTAAGTTCCGTAGTTATTATCACGCTCGTAAAACAGCAGCGAGGCCCAGCGTTTCGTTCAGGCAATACCCCGTGACACGTTGGCAAACAATGGAGTAATAAAAGTGAACTACGACTGAGTCGTAAAAAAAAACAAAAAAAAAAAAAAAGGAAAAACAGTAATTTACATCGAAAGAACAAACGTCTGAGTGGTGGGAGGGAGACCCATTGATACCAGTGATATTATTCGAGCAAACGCATACACCGGTGGAGACGCCTTGACTTTGTTATTAAAGTTTTCGCCTCTCTTGATAACGGCTGTACGCTGGGAGAAAATGGGAGACAGAAATAAAATCTGTGATCGTTTCTTTCAGTCTCGTTGAAAACGACAAAAAAAAAAACAAAAAAAAAGAGAAAAACATAGCTTTCCAAAGACATGGAAATGATTGGAGACCGGGCTCGTTTGTATTTCACGACGATCGTGGCCAGGAGTAGCTTCGAATTTTCTTAATTGACAAATTTTGTTCACTTATATTTAAATCGGTTCGTTAATCGAATGAGCGAAAAATAAAGTTCGAAGAATCCTTCTATAAAATCCAATCCAATCTCGATGTGTATTCGTTAGCTTTCATTTGTGTGTTTGCAGATAAGTTTCTGAACCACACTTTTTTGCATCTACCCTAAAATTCTTTAAGGTATGGTCATTTTATTATTCTGTATTCCTATATTACATATAATATATATTTTTTTTTTTCGTGACGATTAATAAAGCGACAAAATTATTGGTTAGACCTCGATACCCTGCGAACGTATTTTGTTTCATTTTTTCTAGTGCGTATTTGTGACGTTAAAATTAAAAAAAAAAAAAAAGAAAAATACATACACAGACACGAAATATTGTTGGTATCGGAATATTTTTACACGAAAGCTTTTAATATAGTTTAGTAGAATGTACCGTTTTATTATAGCAATACGTCTGAATTGAGAGTATTAATAAATATCCGAAAATTAGTATTTTTATATTATAATAGAGTAGAAACGATTCATTTCCATGGTAAACACAAGCTTTTTTTTATATAGCGTTATACGGAGAGAAAAATTTGGAAATTTAACGTAGCAAAATATTTTTATATATATAAATGTGCCTCCCTTATAAATAGTACTGTGTAACCGTTAATAAGTAATGTTGGGTAATAATGTTAGTATCTTTGTCAAAGACACTTAATCTAATCGTTAAGTACAGGGTACATTCTTTGGATTAAATCTTTTTCAATAAACGATAATTCGGTGTACTGATGATCACGAATTTAACATAACCGAGATGCCGAGGAACGATACACGAATTTCCCCGTTCTATTTTTCTACAAAGAAGCAACAATTTACCTGTTGCTATCAAATATTTTTATTCAAACGAATCTGCGTAATAGATTATTCCAAGTCTGGTCCCTTAGAAATCAAACGAAGCACTACTGTATTTACATCAAATAGGTAAGGTGTAGCGTTCGAAATTAGTATTTTAATTTTGTCTTAGAGAATAAAAAATTACGGTCTTGACATAATTTATTTAATAAACGAATAAGATTTTACTGGTTTATTGTTGTTAAAAAACACTTGAGTCGCAAATTAATTTGTACAGCGCGCGAATTCACTCGTGATCGAAGATTAGAACGGAACATGCGCACAAAATCCGTCCGGTTGTGGCGTTAGAGCGGTCGTTCAGCGCGTGATGTCATTCTCTGTTCGTTGTTAACTACGTTCCCGTGTTGTGATTGTACGTTTTCAATCGCGTCGACAGATCCCGAGCGAAGTGTAAAATCGTTCGACGATTGTTCGAAATCACGGATTACGACAATTCATTGAAGGTGAGTTTGGGGAGTTCAGTGAATATGTCGTACCGAACGACCGTGACGTAGCACGTTTTTAGATTTCACAATTCAATTAAAAACAAACGTTAATAAATGAGTGAGTTTTAACAATAACAGATCAATGGACGAAGATCTCTGATATCGTCAAACTAATCGGACTCATCAGCTCGGGATGATGAATTTTGAAGAAGAGAACGGATCTATGAGATCCTTGTCATCACGAAATATTCGTTGCTGTCTCGCAACAGCTAGATATAACAGTTCAAAGTAAATCATCCTAATTCGTGTTTAAACGCTTCCTTTTACGTAACCGTTATTTCTCACGCGTCGTTTCAGTTAGAAAAGTGCAACTTCTTTACGTAAATGTATATTAACCTTGTCGATGTTTTAGCGCATATATACGTATATCTATATTTCGTAGACCGTATAATTTGAGAGGACCGTTCGGCGAAGTAAATGGGAAATATGGATGAATTGCAAAATCGGAACGATCTCGTGGCTGCTTACTGTGGCTACGACGATCGTAATAATAACTACAGGTTAATGGAGTATCTTGAATTGAATAGTCGTACAGAAGATTCGTTCCGTAAGCAAACACAAAAAAGGCGCGCGAATTGAACGTTGGAAACGAACAATGTGCCATGTATGCGTGCTTAAACTTGCAGGTGAACCGGAAGTAACTTTGAATTTGAACGAAAGTCCTGTGGAGCTACCGCTTCATCCGTTGGAGGAACTCGAGGAAGATATGTTCGATTACGAAGCTGACAATTTACTACAGGATACGAATACAGAGTCAGAGGTAAATTAATAGAAACAAGAACAATTTATTTCTACTTCGATTTTGTGTTTTGTTCCTTTCAGGAGCAAGTCGTACCGTCTAGTCAACTGAGTAACAGTTATAAATATCCCGAGGAACTTACTATCTCTGACGACGAGATAGACGAGGGCATATTTGAAGAAGAACCGGCGTCCACTTTAGTATTACCGAATGATAATAACACGTACGACTCTCAGCCTCCGTGAACATCGACTACTTTAATATAGTCGATGTATCTCTAGAGTAGCATTGTGCGCCAACTTGCTACCAATATGTAATGTTATTAAGTTTTTCCATCGATCAGGGTCACCGAACATATTTTAAAAAGCATTACAGTAGTAGAGTTGTAACATTTTACGATGGTTCGAGCAAAAACTCTGAATGGCTTTTCAAGCCTAATTCAAACGCAGCGACAAACCAGATTGCTCGTAATTTGTTCGACATTGCTATAAATTTTATTTGTTTTTATTACGAAAGATTATTCTAAGAACAGTGATTTACTCGATTATTAAGTTTATCGTTAAGATTTTATAAAAGGAAGAAGATAGAAATGGATTTGCTTTAAAAATAAATCAATACTCAATAGTAAGTAATCGATATTTTATGCAAGACTTGAATAAATATTATACCTTCGAAACATTTGCTTTGTGCAATAAACGTAATAGAAACCGTATTTTGTACACGAGATTTAAGCGTATATTATTTATCGAAGGTCTACTTATTGTATATATTCTTAGGTAATATACACTAAATAACAGTATATATATAACAGAGAACTGAGCTTATAAATAAAGTTAAATGTGAGAAACCATTAACCGTAAATCGGTTAATAGAATCTGCCCTCTTGTTTGTATCGAGTGCTCTTTCGATACCTAGTAATCGAATTAAAAAAAATTTGAATATTCAGAAGTATGATTTTATTAAATAATTTCGTTAAACGAAGTTTAACGCGAAAGACTGCGTTTTGTTTGGTTAGGTTACCAGATATTTTCAAGTACATCCGTATACAAAAAATGTACTTGAACGACCTCTGGCGGTTACGACCGTTTTTTAGTAATCTGTAACATTCTTTTTACAGTTAAGTACCGTGAAATACCTCTTGGAAACGTACGTATAAAAATGTATCTGTAATACTAGTTAATTCATAGTTCAACCGTGTCTTGTTTCTGATAGTATGTTTATTTTGTTTCCGTAAAAGTTCAACGACATTGCCGCTAGGGAATTCAGTTATATCGAATAGGTTAATTTTATTCTGTATTGTCACTGCAATACTTCTGCTTTACGAGTATCGTGAGCATAAGTGTACGTACATAGCGTTAATGTTTCTTCTACTTTACAACAATGTTAACCAATAAAAATATTTTATTACTTGATTCCTGTCAGAATCCTTTTTAGAATAAATATTGTGTTTCTCGTATCGTAAAGTAGAATACGAAGCGATGGAACACAGACTTTCCCTCGTTTGTAAAAGCAAGAGATAATTCAATTCGATTCGCGATCCACGGTATACAATTACTGTCTACAAATTATAGTAATTTGTCGAATCCGTAGCAATCGTTCGAAAAATGGGGCACGGCTGCGCGGTAAAAAAAGAAGCCATTAAAAGCGAAGGTAAATAGTTCGATACACGGTTTTGTGGTTTGCTCGCTATTAGCAATTTTTTACCATCGACGGATTTAAGTAAATCATCCGTCGACAGAGTTCGGTGTTGCGTTTCTACGAAAGTCGATCTATAAAGCAATTTTTTGACACCGAACACGCAAACGAGCCTGCACAATGTTGTATGCTAGAATTACTTTCGGACTCGTGTTCGAAAGTGAAATTGAATCGTGCCGAATCGAATTTCACACGTTACCCTGGGAATCGTACTCCGGTGACCACAACGAAAGCTTTTTGTCAATCGCAGCGTTAATTCGCCTGCGCCACGAAAATTCTATGGGAACGTAGATGTCGCCCCGATCGTCGCATAGAAATCGCCAATGCGATGCAGGAAAAATGCGTGGCTATTTGACAGCGATTTAACCTCGAATCGAACGAAAACGCAGAGACAGCTTTTCTTGTTTCGGTCTACAACTAACATGAAATTTCGCCATCGTTTCCGCATTCTTCGATCGTGTACCGGGGGCGTCGAGTTACGCGAATTTTTACGGTAATTAATCGCAAATATCGAGGACACAGATGCGGTCTGTTACACGTGACATCATAATTATAGTACAACGTGATGAAACATGGATCTTGTATGCTCGATTACATTCTATTTACAAGCAAAGAATTAAATAATACATGTCGTAATTGTATTCGTGTCAAGTATCACGGGACCTTGAAATAAACGTCGATCGCGTGATGGTAAGGTAATTAAAAAAAAAGATGCAAAGACTTTCGCAAATGAAACGTATACGGTGTTTCATAAGCGTGTCGCTTGGACTAAATGGAGGAAGTGTGTTTCATCAGCCGCCGGTGTTCATCGTGCATTACGATCTTGGAAATCGTACGACACGATGTCTGGTGTAATTCAAGCCCATAGTCCAGTTTTGCTGGTACAGAAATACCGGACAGTTTTGCAAGCAGTCTCGTGTTTCGCGCAAAAGGACGACAACTTTTCATTAGCGATCGATGGCGAAGAGATTACAGAAGAAACACCCACGAAAATCATTTTATGGTAATTCTACTATTTATTTAAATTATTACACTGTCCACGTTACGTGTTTCATAAGGTATCCTGGATAAAAAAAAATAATCGAACGCTGTGAACTCGTTTACAACGTGTTCGTTACAAACGTTTATATTTAATCGCGACCGCGTAACTATCGATGACCGAATCGCGGGCAGCTGTCTGATCTCTGTTATTAATGTCCAATCGAACCTTGAAGTATCGATAATTAACGGAGTGTCGAGTTACAGCGATAAAACGATCGATACTCGGTTCTCGATTAAACGTTGTTTCGAAATCTACGCCTTCGACGAGAATAAATCGTACAACCGTTCCGCCATTTCGATGGACTGAAATTGTAATTTTTAAAGTCGATAAAAAATAGCGTACATTTATTAAACGCGACTTTCGCGGAGTATATTACTGTTAGCTAAACTCGTTTACCCGTAATCGCATTTTCCATCTTGTTCGCGTATGCTAATTTTTCATTGTGCTTCCCCGAGATGATGCACGACGTTTTCCGCCAGCAAAATATTGGAACAACTTTTACCTCGCCCACGCGACTCGTTGTTGGCAAAAGGATGAATACGCGTTGGTTGTTTCATTTGTTCGCCACACTTTAGCGGGGAGTACAACAGAGGGGAAGGGGGGGGAGAGGGGAAAGAAGAAAAAATTTATTATCTCAATTTTAATAATTTCCATAGACCAGCTTCTCTCGAATTCTCAAAATTTCGAATCTTTTTTTGGTAGCCCCCCTTTTGACTTTTTCTAAATCCGCCATTTACACACACACGCTTTACGTAAAACTAATTACAAAGTCCCAAGAGGAAGATCAACGATCGTAATCGGCTATTTCGGAGATTCGAAACTCGATGGGTCTGCAAACCGGTTTTCGTTGGCCCCGATGTTCCCTTTATAACCTAACTTTTTCTTAGGACGATCGTAAACGCGAGTTTTAATGAAAGGCCGGCCAGTCCGCGATCGAATCGAGCTGCAAACAAGAACGCGTTAAATGGAACGAAAGAATCTTCTTCTTTGGGTGTTCGAGAGGCATCGTAACGCGTTTCTGGACGATGCACGCGCATTGTGCGCGAACTTCTTGGAAAGCAGGGCCGTCGAACTCGACTTTTGGAGCTTTCTCCGGCGATCGTACACCTACCCTCCGGTTAACGTCCGTTCGGTATCCGATTGCAGCCGTTTTTTTCTTTTTTACTCTTCTCGTTCAGTCCAGTGACCCACATTCCCCCTCGTAATTGACTTCCGACGAATTTCTCGCTTATTTGTTCGCACACGTGGCGAGAAAGACGCACCGTTCGTCCGCCATATTTGTTCTCGATTTATAATACGCGACTCCGTGTTACGATTTCTTTGAAAAATTATCCTATAATAGAGGAAATTTTATTTAAAATTTTGAGCGATAAGAATCATTTTTTTTTACAACTGACAACCGCAGGGCAGCCCTTTTGGAAGTCGAGGGCTGTTGGGGAGTAGCGTCCCCACGTACCCGAAGCGCCAACTCGGATTTTAATGAAATTTTACGGCCTCTTGCAATGGCCAAAATTAAAAAAAAACATGTTTCTATCTTCTAACGTGGATATTCGAGAGGTGTTCTCATCTTGCCATTTCTGGGATCTCGAACAGTTCTTGTCAGCGAAGCCCGAAGGCGGGGACGGGCAGATTAAACGCACGAAGACGTAATGTCCTAGAAAACGAGCCATAAATCTTTTGCGTCCTTTCTCGTAGTCCGCGGGTCTTACGATGCGTCAGTTGCCATTGAGAGCGGTACAAATGGAATGTTCTCTTGAGAAAGTTAACTGATATTTTCCGACGGTGCCTCAGAAATGTCTGCAAACCAGATTCGTACCAACGACGGTCTCGAAAAAAGGCATTGTTCCTTTTTGTCTCAGCGTGAAATTATAGTTGGTCCGAAAAACTAAATGAGGTTAAAAATCTAAATTGCCAGACGTACAGTGGCCATTTTGATTTTTTAATATAGTTCATTCTTTCATACATGAAGATATTTAAGCTTTGTATACGAAAAAACTAAAAGTAGAACTTGTCAAGGATCGTGACTTTGTTGAAAACGCCGTTTCTCGTCCGATCGTCGAAGTGAAGCGCGGTTGGGCGCGACCAGTAGTGCAAGGATGGGTGACCGCTCAGGGGGAAAAAACACGTATTGGTGATTTTATGTACCAGTTTAAATTGTTAATACGGATCTATTATTGGTTCTGTAATTGGGTATACTTGCTCATTAATGTAAAAAGCTAACTTTAAATGGGTATGTGTTAATTTCGAATTTAGGTTAGAAATCGAAAAAGCCCCCAAGGTGTGTTGTTTTAGCATCGTTAAAATGTCGGAAACGACCAACGGAGTTCCGTGTGACGTCAGTGCAGAACCGTAAACGCGTCCTGTAATCATGCCGGGATTACATAAGCGTATTTAAGATGTTTACTCGGTGAGTTATGCCCGGGTGTCGAACGGACGAAAAAAATTCTCGCCTGTCGACGACCCGCGTCAAGACGGTAGTCCTCTCGGCGGACGCACGTTCGATAACCTTAAGAGGTACCGTTGTTAAACCGGAAGTGGTGAACACGAGTATACAGTGTCAGTGCCACGAAATTGCTTGGGACCTTAGCCGCGGAACGAGAAACTACTGGTATGTGAGAATGCGCTTCTTTTGTCAGTCCCTGAAAGCCCCGTACATTTAGCGATGGGAATAACGATCTTGTAAATGTGATCGTTACATTATCCGGCGCTTACGGGACTGGCGCGATAAGGCAAAGCAAAGCTCCTAGCTACGACGAACGATTCTCTCTAGGATCCTAGAAAATGGCGATTTTGGTTGCAACTCGAAAACGAAATTTTTCACTGTTTCATCGAATACGAAATTTTCCACTGTTTTTCGAGTTCGAAATTTTAAGGCAAAGCTAGCCACGACGAAAGCTTCTCTAGGATCCTAGAAAATGGCGATTTTTGATTACAACTCGAAACCAAAATTTTTCGTTTCATCGAGGACGAAATTTTGATATCAAAAAATTAAAAATTGGACTCGAAATCCCAAAGTGAAAAAGATTATATCGTTCCAAGGAAGAACTATGCTTTCTTAAAATTATTATTCGTCGTGGTGGCTGGGGTCGTGGAGGGTGGAGGGGGAGGAGGGGTCAGGAATATTGGGGTCCCCAGTGGCCGAGGGAAGTGTGTCGATCTTCCTCGAATCCGGTCGCGACTCGCGGTTCCAAGGTTCGCGTGAAAGTCAAGGCCAGCCGGTCGTAAACCACAGGCCTCATGTTATTCGCCATACGTTATAAATATACATACGCCGGTCGGTATAGTCACGTACGGGAGAAAGCGAACGAGCAACCAGTTTATGAAAATTGCGTCGCCCCTTCTTTCTTGGTCGGGCACGTTCGTAAACTCCGAGGGCTTTCGTTGTCGTTGTGGCGAGGAAGACCACGGTAAACGGAACCGTGCGACGCTCGCCTCTATAGCAACGCCTATCGCGGGCCAATTAGGCTGCAAAATTTATGGTCATCCTACGGAGCAAATTTCTTCATCGCGAAATTATTCAGCCATTTTAAACTCCTTTCTCGAAAGGTCCTTCACCAACATTACCATAACTTCTGCAATATTGAATATTTTCGCGTAAAAAAAATCGAGGACACTCTTCGAACATAGATCTAAATACACAGGTCGAAACTTTGATACAAAAATATTTCACCGTTACCACAAAAAAAATATATTAAGATAATGGATTTTTCAAAAACAACGCAACAACTTTCGGTGATAAAACTTCCGTTTAATTTCATTTCGTCGTACAGTCGAGGTTCCCTTTCGATGACTCACGAAGCCTCGTGACGAGATAAGGAATATCCAACTCGAGGAAAGTGTGGACACAAATGGCGATAATTAACAGCGTCGATTACCCGGGGGATACTCGTCCTCGCAACTGGGGCGCAACAGGATCCCTCGTTCATATCGCAGGATCGAGCCTATCGTAGAAAGTGAACGCGTATAAATCTTCCGGGTCCGATAAGGCGTAGATTCGATTAAACATCGTCGAACACCCCGCCCTGGATTTCCGTCAGCTGATTGTTGTAAATGTACAGGAAATTGCCTCTGACCGAGCTCAGCCCATAGAGGGCGCCGTTGGCCAGTCGTTGGAACGGATTCCGCGAGATGTCCAGCACGTTCAGGCTGGCGAGATTCTTGCAGGAGCCTTTCGATATCTCGTCGATCCGATTCTCGGTGAGCCATAGTCGCGTTAGTCGTGGCAGTCCCTCGTAGCTGTCACCGTCGATGGTCGTCAGAGTGTTGTTGTTCAGATGCAAGTCACGAAGCGTCGGCAGGTTGAAGGCGCCCTTCGGAATGTTCGAAATCTTGTTCCCGGTCAGACTCAGGGTGACTCGAGGAACGTCGTCGAAGCTGCCAGCCTCTAGACTGTCGATCTCGTTGTAGTCGACGTGCAGGAAGTCTAGAGATGGCGGCAGACAGGCGAACGTGTCCCTGGTGATAGTCTTCAGCTTGTTCCAGGCCAGATTCAGGTCCTTCAGGCTCCCCAGTTCGGCGAACGTTCCCTTCTCCAGCCTGGTCAGCGAGTTTCGATGAAGGTACAGCGTGGTCAGCTGCTTCAGATCCCTGAACGCTGAATGTTCGATCCGATGCAGACTATTACTCGTCAGGATCAGCATACGCAGAGAGTCCAGGTTCTTGAAGACGTTCTCTTGCAACTGGGTGATCTTGTTGTTGGCCAGGTTCAAGAACACCAAACCAGGAAGGTTCAGGAAGATGCCGTCAGGTATCGCGGCGATCTGATTACCAGACAGTACTAGTTCTGTGAGAGTTTGGGGCAGACTGGTGACGAAGGACAGATCGTCCAGTTGATTTCCAGCGAGGAACAGACGGGTCAGGTTGGTCCTCCGAAGAGCCCCTTCCTCTATGTTCCCTATGAGGTTGTTCTTCAGATTCAACATCCTCAGGTGTCTGTTCTCGATCACCTGGTCGTAGATACCTCTCACGTTGTTCTCCATTAGGTTCACGTAGATCAGGTCCTCCGGTAGGTCGTTGAGCATCTCCTTGGAGATCTCCGCTATGTCGTTGTGGGACAGATCCAAGGAGACTATGGGTAGGTATTGCAGCTGGTACCAGCGTTCGTGGAACCCTTTGATGCCCAAACCCCGCAGGCTCACCTTCTTTTCTTTCGCGTTCACGGGCACCTCCGTGCACTGACTACCAGCCGCGATCTTCGTGCCCTTATCCAACGGCTCCAACGACACGATCATCTTGTCCGGCATGCACAATTTCAACGTCAGGTCCTCCGTCAACGGTATCTTGTTCGGCGGCGAGCATTGAAGCTCGAGAGCCGCGTCCTCCTTGTTCGTCTCCATCGTCCTCTCCTTCTCACGGTTCCTCTGCTCGATGTCTGCCTCCGCCTTCATTCTATCCAGCTGCATCGTCTCCTCCTCGTTCTTCAGGAACGAGTTCGTGAACGTGCCGGTGCTGATGCTCCAGAACACGTTACCGCCGGTCAGTATCGTCGTGGACTTGGTCAGACCGAACAGATGCCCTCTGCGCAGGTGCATCACGGGATTGCAGGACACGTTCAGCACGCGAAGCCTCTCCAGCCGGACGAACAAGTTCTCCAGGCTGGACAGTTCGTTCTCGGCCAGGTTCAAGTACTCCAGGTTGGTCAGGTTCGAGAATACGAACTCCGGCAGGGACTGGAGGGAATTGTTCGCCAGATTCAGGGACTTTAGGTTAGCCACGTCGTCCAGCGCGTTCTTCTCCAGCCTCTGGATCCCCATGCTCGAGAGATCGAGGCTCTCGACGGTGTCCCCGGAAAACCGTACGCTCCTCAGTGTCCCGTTCTCGATGTCCAACGCGTAGTTCTCCAGAGACGGGTTCAGTGGCGCTGCTGCCAACAGTGGCAGGAACATGGCGAGGAGCAACATCGTTTTGAGAATCTGCAACAGAGTTTGATATTTTAGGTTCCATGGAGTGAGCAAGGTAGCTTTCGTTTAGGGTACAAAAATTCCAGTCTCTGCGGCTAGGGGCACGCGACACTATACATTCTTCCTTGTCTTGCACTTGGAAACAACGAAGACAGACAAGGTTCTGTGTCTTTTCAGTTGTAAGACAAGGAAGGGTATAAAAATGGACGTCGTTTCAACGCACGTGCGACTCTAGACTCTTTATGAAACACAACACCCAAGTGTTTAAGGAGTCTCTCGATTAATTTTCAATTCTCAGAAACCAAGGCACAAGCCGTGCCGTGGCCTTCGGTTTTTTATCCTCCCGAACGCGTCTGTTTTGCGTGGGAGATATTTAAGCCCGGATCAGGTTACGCGACGCAATCCGTTGGACGTTGAGCTTGGTGGCACGTCGAGGGGAGCGCCCTCTCGCGACAATAGAGACTACCGTTCCGTCCAATCGAAAATCCAAGCGTTCCCGTATACGAACATCGTGATTCTTTAATTGAACGGTTCGGTAACTCCGTGAATAACGACGTGGATAAACATTGAATATTCAGCAGTTCATAATGGGCTATACAACGCGCTATAAGAGTCTATTTTTCGCCTGTGGTTTCGAAGAATAGTAGATTCATTCGTCGAAACCGTAGGCGACGAAATAAATTTTAAATCGTAAAACGTTGAGAGATTATGTAAACCCGTTTTGAGCAGTTCTTTTAAAATATCAGTCGACGTCTTAAAAAATTCTGGAAGCATTACTTAAATACAGAATCTTTTCCTTCGCATTTATGGTTCGTAGCTTCTGCTATATTAGGATCGTAACAATTATTGCGTTACGTGTTTAAAAAATTTAGCTTCTCAGTTTCAACGATGTCTCGTTTCACCATATTCACTATTCATTCTGTGGTATAATTTCGATACTTCTGTGACCATAAATATTCCCATAATTCTACTACAATTCGAAGCAAAAGAATTCTTGTTCGTGTAGTTACAGTAACTGTCACTGTCGCCACTCGCGTTATATTCGTCCAATTTATTCGCAGACATTTTACTCTACCAGTAACAGAATTACCAAGACGGTTAGACGATAATTTAATCTAAGGAAGGGTTAATTTGGAGAGTAAGACCCAGCGCCATTGTTTGTTTAGAAGAACGTTAAAAGAGGGACCCTTACTTACCTTGCGGGGGTGATGTGGTACCGAAAACCTTGCGGAGCTGCGGACTGAGAAGGACTGTTCCTAGTGTCTATTCCTGGACGAGCAGCTCGCGACAGGATTCCTCGGGACACGGCTATCACGGAAACAGGTCTTGCAAGCCTTTATACCCCGCGGATTTTAAGTGTGTTCGAGGATCCCGTGGATTCGTACACGCGCGTAACGCGAGCGTGTTGTGTCGTTTTAGCCGGGCCCCGAGTGGGAGACCGACGACCAACGACCAGCGCAAAGGGACGAGGGGGCCCGTTGGCGCGTTCGTAGAACTCGCTCTTAAATTCTCCCGTCGGTGCTATTAGACGCAAAATCTCGTCACGTATCGAATGGTCAGGGAGCCAGGAAGAGTCGAGACGGCGGGGCGTCGCGACCTTCCCTGAATCTAATAGAGTCTATTATTAATTCGTTCTATTCGAGGAAACCGTCGTTCCTCCGCAAACTTCGTGATCCGTCGAGTCGCGAACGAAACATAGAATATTTCTGGTCCCCGACAGAATCTTCTCTTTCATTTTGTTTCACTTTTTTTATTCCATTTAAAAATGTCCACTGTCTACAGGGTGTTCGATCAACGCTGGGAAAATTTTTATGAGAGATTCTGGAGGCCAAAATAAGTCGAAAATCAAGAATACCAATTTGTTCATCGAGGCTTCGTTAAAAAGTTATTAAAGTTTAAAGTTCCGCTCGTGTTGAATTTTTTTCTTCAAAATGCGCAAGATTTCGGGGGAATGTCTATTCACCAAAATTGATTGTAATAAACCCCTCCAATTAAAAATAATTTTTTTAGGACGATTTGAAACTTTTCAATTTCGTCGAAAAATTGGTCTATCTACTCGAATTTTTTTCTCGAAAATGCGTAGGATTTCGAGGGTATGTCTATTCACCAAAAATGTTTGTAATTGACCCTTGCAACTGAAAATAATTATTTTAGAACGATTTGAAACTTTTCAATTTTGTCGAAAAATTTGTCTACCTACTCGAATTTTTTTCTCGAAAATGCGTAGGATTTCAAGGATATGTCTATTCACCAAAATTGATCGTAATTGACCTCTCCAACTAAAAATAATTTTTTTAGAACGATTTGAAACTTTTCAATTTCGTCAAAAAATTTGTCTATCTACTCGAATTTTTTTCTCAAAAATGGGTAGGATTTCGTGGGTATGTCTATTCACCAAAAATATTTGTAATGGACCCTTGCAACTAAAAATAATTTTTCCAGAGCGATTTGAAATTTTTGAATTTAATTGTTAACTTTTTAACGAAGCCTCCATCCATAATTTTGTATTCTTGATTTTCGTCTTATTTTGGCCCATTAAAATTTTTCCCAGGGTTGGTCGAACACCCTTTATAGTCGAATTTAAAATTTAGGAGATTTATAAAGCCTCCAATGGCATAGAATCGAACCTGAAAAATTGAGGAATATTTTTGAGGATATAATATAGAACTAAATATTAATTTCTATCGCAGAAATTCTTTCCCGCGTATCGTTCCGCGCGGTTCGTTTCTTGTCCCCCAGCGAATATTTCGCGTCGGATTTATCGCAAAGTCAGCGTTTCTGTTGATGATTCGAGTCGCCGGCTGTAAAGCGACGAGTAACCCCGAGCTCGAAGATAATAGTACACCAATTGATTCCTGGGATGAATAATGCGCGGTACACATGCAGGCGAGTCTTCTTTCCTACGCTGCTAAGAAAATACCACGTATTTATCTTAAACCTGTTACCAACAGCTGTGAGAAATTGCCGGCTCGCAGCGTATACGACGGGACAGATCGCTTTGTTTCATATTCAAACCTGATGTTGGACGTATTAAAATAACACGGGACGTTCTTTCATACGATTCGTCGCGGTTATTTTATTACCACTTAGCCGTATAGAGTCCGCGTACGAATCTATAATGTTACAAGAAGCTAATCTACACCGAGATGATTCGGTTATTCTAACCTTACAAACGAGTTCCAACAAATTGTCGCGACCATCAATACATGAAATCTGTACACACGTATTTTCTTGCGACGTTTTACACCACGAATTAAACTGTATTTTCACATCGTGAGACCCGTGGTTTCGTAGAAAAAATTCCACAACCTGGAGACGCCATCGCGCGGACACTGTCCGAAATAAATTGCGTTCCAAGCTCGGTGAGAAAATGGATCGTCGAAATGCAGGAGCCAGAAATGTTTCAGGCATTCGAGGAAGCATTTGGAACACGGACGCGTTTAAAGTACGAGGAGGAATACGTGCATCGGGCTACCATAAGCCGTGCTACCTCCGTTCGTTCGTCGACGGTTGTTTGCGTTCGATACGTGGCGTGGTTCGATAAACGAGCCTTCGGACTTCGCAGTCTGAAACTGTTTGCCGTGAATACGTGATTTTCTAGCGTGTCACGGTGTCGACGGACGAGACACGATCCTAAATTTTGTCACGGACAACTTCGTTGCTTGAAAATTAACTTTCCTTCTGGGTAGTCCAGATTTTAACAACCGCGTGATGAAAAACACATTGGGTCATTTCTTTGTTTTCTTTAGGAATTTTTGTCTTTCAATCGGTAGATCGTATCATTCTATTTTTTCGTATATATATTTGGTCATGTCTTACGAGTAATACATAATTTTTTTTATTGAAAAATAGTGATTATTGTAGAAGCTACGTGCCCCTATAATCGATCCCACTATTTTCGAACTGTATACAGGGTGTTCTGTCACCCTTGGGAAAAATTTTAATTGGCGATTCTAGAGACCAAAATAAGACGAAAATCAAGAATACCAATTTGTTGATGGAGGCTTCGTTAAAAAGTTATTAACAATTAAATTTAACAATTTCAAATCGTTTTGGAAAAATTATTTTCGGTTACAGGGTTCAATTACAATAATTTTTGGTCATTACACATACCCCCGAAATGTTGCGCATTTTCGAGAAAAAAATTCGAGAAGGTGTGAAATTTTACGACGGGAAAAAGAAAATTTCAAATCGTTTTGGAAAAATTATTTTCAATTCGGGGGGTCAATTACAATCATTTTTGGTGAATAAACATACCCTCGAAATCTTGCGCGTTTTCTAGAAAAAAATTCGAGAAGGTGTGAAATTTTTCGACGGAAAAAGAAAATTTCAAATCGTTTTGGAAAAATTATTTTCGGTTACGGGGGTCAATTATAATCATTTTTGGTGAATAAACATACCTCCGAAATCTTGCGCGTTTTCGAGAAAAAAATTCAGTACGGGCGGAACGTTAAACATTAATTACTTTTTAACGAAGCCTCCATCAACAAATTGGTATTCTTGATTTTCGTCTTATTTTGGCCCCTAGAATCTCCTATTAAAATTTTTCCCACCAGTGGTAATTTACAAGGTAATTTTTTTATAGAAAAATAATGATTATTATAGAAGTTACGTGCCCTTACAATCGATCCCATTATTTTCGAATTGTATATATCTCAGTACAAACCGTACGTCGCTCGTAAATTTAATGTCGTATTACAGTTATCGAATCTATCGATTCAGAAATACGGTTTACGGTGTGCAAACGATTCGTGCGTACCGATCGTAGGAACAATTACTTCGCGTCGGGTGTCGTTCGGCGATCGAGGATCAAGGGATCAGAAGCGCCGCTATTCGATCAAGGCGCCCCTCCGATCGACCAGTAAATCAATGGCCAATTTCAAGAACTCGTTACCCGCGTCGGATGGTCAACGCGGCGGCGACGTCGGCGTTGCGGAGCATTTCCTGATCCGATCCAAGCCACAATGATACGCTTCTAGTCGTGGTTGTCCCACGATCGATTATACGTTCGGTTAAGCATGACCGATCGATCGGGCTCGGCCGACGATGGACGGCCGCGGGTCGTCGAACACGCCACGATCTGTTCGATCGCGTTATAAACGCGAGTTAACAGGCGGCTTTGACCGTTTCTTTCCCGGAACGAAACCCGCCTCTCTATCGCGGCACGGTCTTTGGCGGTAAATCCGAGGAAATTACGCGTCGGCTGCGAATCATCGATTTTTCTTAACGTTTCGATTCCCTCGCCTTTTGCCTTCTTGCGTCACCCGGACGAACCTCCATAGTAATTGCTTCCCGATCGTCGCCTTCACGTACCTAATTAACACGCTTTGACGATAATCTAACCTCACTTTACGGCCCAACTCAACCCCGACCGCCGCTCTGCGTCTGATCGATGTACTAAATTTGGTGGCACGCCATCTTGTGCACCACACAAAACGAGGAATTGTATTTGGAAAACTACCCATTTTCATACACCTAATAATGCCTAATTATAACGCAACAAAGAATTCTGGGGGTTCGCCTTGACCAGTGTGGTATATATTCCAATCATCATTCGACTTTAAAAACGACATCATTCAAACACACAGGGGTGATCCTTAACCTCTTTTGAGGCATCCTAGTAGACGCCATGATATTGGGAATCAGTCGAGGGTCGTATATAAACAGACGGAGGGTCGAGTGCTTGCGAGAGTCACGGTCCCTCTGGCGGCGAGTACAAGAAGCAACGTGGACCCCCACACTCCGTAAAAAAACTACGATCTGTTAATATGAAATGTCACGAAACCTCAAGCATTCGACAGCTTCCTAGTCGAGTATTATTAAAAAAAATTTATGTTACGAGTCCACCGCGTCGGAGAAGAGATTCAAGTATGCGGTTAGTAAATCGTCACAGTCCCCGGGACCCTTCGAAAATGGCGCAAAAAGCAGAACCGAGGAGGCGCGAGTCAGGTGTTTCCTCGCCCATAAACCAGCCGTTAACACCATTATGACACTCCTGCGTTTCCAGGCCCGTGATTCGACATGATTCGACGGGCACGGTGGACGGTTCCCCCGTCCGGCTGTAAATAAATTCCAGCGTCCGCCAGGCGGGTATTTCTACGACCAATTTGAAACGTTCGTGACCGGGACCGGGGGACGAGCACGGTGTCCCGGGGTCGTCGCACTTTCGGAAACGTAGAATCTCCCGGCGGCGGTCCGGGCCCCGCTGAGAACCACTGATCCCCGCCGGATCGCGGTTATTACGTGGCGCGGCGAGGCAAGGTTCAGGCCTTCGTGGTTCTCTCACGGTGCGCTATCCGGAGAGAGAAAGAAGCGCAGAAGAAAAAAAGTAGAAAAAGGTACGGGGGGGCCCTCCCCCCGGGTACCCGCGGGACGCGTCGAGTTAATTAAGTTTGCGCGTATGGAAGCGGGCTCGAGCCGCGTTCGAGATCGAGACGCCTCGAAGGGCTTGGAAATACCGAATGGGATCCGTGAATTATCTGCCGCGAGCGATCGTTTCGTCTCCTCCGTTCGTTTTAATTGTGCGAAAGGGGACGACGGTTACGCGGTTCCCGTTCGACCGGCAAAACGGTCCCATTAATATTAATCCACTCGCACGGTGAAATCAGTTGTTTATTTATCCCATAAAAATATAATATTTTTACAGTTAACGGGGAGATAAAAGGATTTATATCGAGACTTGTGATTCAATTATAAATGCGAGACTCCAATGTTTACATAATGCTCCCTAACGAGGTATCGGTTTCTCCGTTGGGGGGCGGGGCAGTGTTTTGGGGGGTGAGGCTCGACGAGACGCCTCGGTGTTTTTTTTTTTCTTAGGAGCATTCCAGATATCCAAGTGTCTGTCGTCGAGGGGGCAGGGATGCCTGACCTCGTCTGCGTCTCGCCAGGCTTAGTCTTGGACTTTTTTTTTGTTGCGTCTAGGTTAGGTTACCGAACAATTGGAATCCCTGTTCTAAAATCCTATATATAGTTGGAAAGTTCTTTCGTTCGAGGAACGCGCCGATCTGGACGCAACGGTTATATTTAATTTCCGTATCCGAGTTTTCTGCTCAACGATGTTCGCATAATTGCGAATAATTTCACAGCCCGGCGATCAGCTACTTTTTGTTCGAACGTAAAAGTCGGCGAATGGGTTAATGAAAAACAACGATCGCGCGTGACGGGGAATCGTTAATTATCCGGGATTAAAAAACCGGGAAATACGTAGAAAGAAGCCAAAATACGGTTTTTAATTAATTTTAATCGATGCAAAGCGTGACAAGCTCCGACGAGTCGAAATTATTATTTGTCGCCGGTTGTCCGAGTTCTTGCATAAGTAATGGCCGACGTCGACGAAACTTGTTTGCGCTACCACTTGATAGGTGGCGCTGTTGTCGAGATAAAGTCGATTCTCATGGTTTTCGAACATTATTTCTCATTACGTAATATGATTCCTTTTATTCCGTACGAGTTTCTTGGAAGTTAGAAGATTATTCGCGAATTACGAAAGCATCGATCAGGTTTCCTCGAAGAAAGGAGCGTCGCATTGGAAATTTCTTTTTCGTCGAATTTGCATCCGCGTAGCTTGCAGCGCCGGATACGGTCGTTAATGGCTTTGCATAATGGTACTGGAATAATTATTCCGCCAGAGAGCGCGATTTCGTGCCTTTGAACTATCCAGCGAACCGTCGTTGCTTGCAGTTCTTAAACGTTTTGCATATTTTAATGAACTTTAATCGTCTATAAATAATTCCTATAAATCAATCTTAATTGCACATATATTTCCCCCCGAACAACAATCGATAACAAGTTTGGTTTCGATTATTTAACCATGGATTTATTCCAGTGCCTCGCCAAAAAAAAATGAATAAGAATTTCTACGATAAAAAATTGAGTAATCTTAATTTACGAAGAAGGACTCGAGTATCGATTAATATTCAGGAATTTGTTCTTCTGTTTTCGTTTCTCGGGACTCGGAAATCCCGATTGCATCAAGAATTTACGGGAACTTTTTTTCTGCTTTGTCGTCAAAAATAAAAAGACATTCGAATGGGCAGTTTGAAACGTGGAATCGTTATTTATGGCGAAAGGGATGGAGCAGTTCGCGTGCAATTTCACGTGCCATTATTCTCTGTTGTTCTTTTCACGCGTAGCAATTCAGAACTGGTCGACGACGCGCGGAACTAAGAAACGGACGTTCCTTGAGCGAAGTGATTCTTCATGACGCTGTGTATCAAGAGTTTGACGCGCGAAAGTCTCTGCCTTCCATTCAACGAGCATCGCGAAATTAACGTCATTACCGTTCAACAACATTATGCTTACAGTTCGCGGCTATTCATTTAACCTTGAAAGACCCCTCTGGTCCGTTTTAAAAGTGACTTTACAACCGCGTTCTTTCTTCGCCATGTTTAATATAGAAGCTCCTTAGCTGACGCGATTCATCCACCGATGTTGATATTAATCAGTATATAATCGTGATACGAATATTACGACAACAATAAAATAATTTTTACGACCGTTTCAATCTACCAGGCGATCGTAATGGTAAGCGCTTGAAATTAACAGAAATATTAATGTAAGAGATCCTCGATAGTACGAGCAAGTGGAATAATTTCAATTTCATGAATATTATCGTTTCCTGTTCTCGATATAAAGATGACTTATTTAGATGAATTATTTACACGGAGGAATCAGATATTATACTTTCGTCGCTCGAGGAACATTTAAGTACCTGGAGCTGGGTACGGTTACATAACCAACAAATTGAACGCTGGAAAAAAATTTCACTTTTATCTCATTCCAATGCAGTTTCCTTTACAATAACCCGCGTTACTTAACGATCGTTTTAATTAATATAATTGGTACGATCTGTTCCTTATATGGTTGCTTAGGACTAAATAAAATTATCTTGGACAAATTAAACTTTGAAATATTTGAAATTTAAGATATTAATATTTCATAAGAGTCGAATATTTTCTTGAGATTGAAGTAATCTTTTACCAGACTTGACAGACGTTTCCTCGTACCGGCGAGCTTTTTCTCCGAAACCGCTCGCAGCGATCGAAGCTTTTAACCGGTAAATCCTAAACGATCCAAAGATCCTGTAATAGCTCAAGGGGCGAAACGCAGCGTCAGCTTTTTACCAGCGAACGTTCTTTCACGATCCAATCGGTATCTCCCCCAATGGAAAATTCTTATCCAGTAATAATCACGGGGGCGATGATTGGCTAATGGTACCCTCGCTGCATACTGTGCATCCAGGTTATACCTTATCCGAGATCGGCCTCTATCAGCGATTTCTGCATCTCTTCCCTCTTGGAAGTAAACACACTGTGTATACGGGGTGTAAACAAAATCGTTGACGAAGCTCGTTAAACTCAAAAATTTATTTAAAAAAAGAAAAATGATGTATCCAAGGATGTTCGACCATGGCTGGGAAAAATTTTAATGGGAGATTCTAGAGGCCAAAATAAGACGAAAATCAAGAATATCAATTTTTTGAATTATGCTTCATTACAAAGTTATTAAAAAATTTCAAATCATACTTAAAAAATTATATTTAGGTGCAGGGGTCAATTACAAGCATTTTTAGTGAATAGACATACCCTCGAAATCCCACTCTCTTTCGAGAAAAAAATTCGAGGAGATGTGAAATTTTTTGACAAAATTAAAAAATTTCAAATCATACTAAAAAAATTATATTTTGTTACAGTGGTCAATTACAAACATTTTTGGTGAACAGACATACCCTCGAAATCCTATTCTCTTTCGAGAAAAAAATTCGCGGAGATGTGAAATTTTTCGACAAAATTAAAAAATTTCAAATCGTTCTGGAAAAATTATATTTAGTTACAGAGGTTAATTTCAAGCATTTTTGGTGAACAGACATACCCTCGAAATCCTATTCTCTTTCGAGAAAAAAATTCGAGGAGATGTGAAATTTTTCGACAAAATTAAAAAATTTCAAATCGTTCTGGAAAAATTATATTTAGTTACAGAGGTTAATTTCAAGTATTTTTGGTGAATAGACCTACCCCCGAAATCCTACCCATTTTCTGGAAAAAAATTCAATACAGGCGGAACTTTAAGGAAGCCTCCATCATCAAATTAGTATTTTTGATTTTCGTCTTATTTTGGCCTCCAGAATCTGCCATTAAAATTTTATCCCAGAAGTACCCTATATACACTATCAGTTTTGTAATTTTTGGGTTGTGACGACGATTCTCGGGAAAATTCGCCATCGTGGGTCGGAGGGGAGGGGGAAGAGAAGGGGGGAAAAAAGAGGATCGGCGAGCCCAAGTTCGGGGTCGGGAGGAGGATTTTCGCGCCCGCGATGTTCCAGGAAAGTGGCGCCTTTCTCGTCGGTGAAAGAGGTCGGTGGGGGGAGAGGACGTCGCGACGTGGCCGAATGTGGAGTAGAATCGCATCCACGGGTCGGCTGAGTAACGGAGCGGGCGCAGAGTAGAGCGTATCGCGTGTCGTCTTCCCGTCGACGAGCAGAGCCGGGGCGTTCATCGCGCGGAATATTCGAGCTTGCCGCCAGTCGCGTGCTGACCAGCCGACCGTGCGTACGGATAGAACGCTATGACCCGTCGTGATCGCCTGTACCACGCTTCCGTCGCTCGTCGATGACAGAAAATCGTCGTCGAACGATCCGCTGACGCGCTCGTGACGATTCGCGTGACCCGCGCTCGCGATATTCGCCGAAAAACGCGGGCAAAAATCGGACGATAACTTTCAGTGAATTTGTTCCCGTTTCGCATGGTCGTCGGTTCGTCGAACGTCGGTGAACGGATCGATCGGTTTTTCGAGTCCGGTCCCGGGTAGCCCCGACGTTTTGTTGAAGTTTCAGTGATCGATCGTAGCCCGATAGACAGAGAGATCGGTTGATCGCGGAGCAACGACGTGCGTGCAACGATCGCGATCGATCGACCGTCGTTATCGCTTGATGAGTCGCGTTCGACCGTCTCGGATCTGAGGATCCGATCGACGTCGTAGAGGCGAGGCATTATTCGTTGAAAGATCCACCAGAGCACGATGCTGAACGACAACGTGTGGAAGCACAGGCGGGTGCCTGTCCCGAAGAGGTGAGCTCGATTATACCGATTTCGAACGACGTTGATCGTTCGACAACCGCGGCTCAATGCATCGTCGATTTCGTTCGACTGCCCTCTCTGACAAAACATCGTCGATCTAACGAACAACTCGAACGTCTCTTCCAAGGAGACGCAAAATAATTTCTCTCAAACTATATCGAACAAAATGTTCGTAAAACTTTTTAGAAATATGTATACGTCTCTTTGAAGTTTCATATTGTGGCATGTGACTGTTCCCATCGATCGTAACGATTGCTGCGGTGGGGTTTGACGGTAAACATAACCTACGAGCAGCGTGCGTTCTTTCGCGATAATATCTGAATGAAGAGAATCAGTTGTGTCAGTCAAACGTATTAAGATTTTTGAACGTTTTATTTTAGAATTAATAGATATCTTACAATGATTCTAGAAACTGGGACAAACGATTAATGCAGGAAAAATTAATTAAGAATATTATAGTCCCTATCTTTCATCTTAAAATCGAACGTTTGAAGATCTTTTAGAACCATAAAGTGTCTGATCCATTTAACGCCGAGAACCGACTTTTCTAAGCATTTCTAACAGCATTAGGCTTTATGGTCATTGGTTCGTAACACTTTTAGCTCGTGTGATCTACATGTTGTTACGGCGTGGACACTTATTCTCTGTTTATAGCAACGTGCCTTTGTTTTACGAGCTTTTTTATCGATTGCAAATATTCGTTGATTATTTATTGTTCAGCAGAAGAAAAATTTGACCAAATGCATCATGTACAAATAAATTTTTCTCTCGTAAAATAAATATTTCAAGAACAGATACGATTTCAAAATCTACTTTATGTATGAATCTAACAGTTTGGTTCGTTCCTCATAAATAAATCCCATAAAAAAAAAAAAAGAAAGTTTTGGGCACCCACTGATTAATTGATTTCTGTACAAAAGAATCTCGCCGTATTATATATACTCGTAATACTTAATGCGGCATTAATAGCAGATAACGATTAATTAAAAGCGAAGAAAAAGCGATCTCACGAGGCTCGTGTGTTTTACAATACCGTCTTCGTATTTTACAGCAGAGCGAGCGAAAGAAATATGGCTGTCTCGTTGCTTCAGAAATGCACAATTAATTGACTCGGAAAACATTTGTAACGCGTTCACACGTGGACAGTGAATTATTCGGTGTACCAAGATGAAACAAATTTTAATTTTTTTGTGCATTCATCGCCGCTTGTAATACTTGATCTCCCCGATAATCGACTTTCCCAAGATTAACGTTTTCGATAAACGACGAACCGAGTGAATCTTATCGATCGTTGGAAACATTGTTAGTTAACGTCTTTGATATTTCTGTAGGAAACAAAGAAATATTTGGGGTCGTTAAACTCGTCGGAAATCGTCTATTTTAGATAGAACCTACGATTGTGTCCGAAGATAAAGAGCGTAGGAGTTCGCGTTAGGCGTAGGAAGAGGTTAGAAATATTATTATAAAGTAAACGCGTACGTAGAAAACGCAACGAATTACTTGGACTAAATTTCAAAATTAAAATTGTAAATAACAGTGTTTGTTAGATCTGGGTTAGGTTAGGTCTGGGTTAGGTCTGGGTTAGGTCTGGGTTATTTTCAAAAATGTGAAAATAGTCGAAAAAGTGGAAAGTGAAAAAGCTGCCATCCGTGTCTACCAAATCGTTCGGTCCAATAACAATTTTTAACCAAGGTATTATTTGTTGCTATTTATAACCAGAACAGTGACACTTTAGACGATAATAGTATCTATTCGTTTATCGTTCGTTCCAAGTGGTGAAATATAGCGAGATCGATTCGTTAGCCACCTAAAGCTTACTATTAACATTTTATTGTTTTCCAACAGACCGTACCAGCAATTAAACGAACTGTTTCCGCGCGATAACATAATTTATTCGTTTACCGATTATAATTGGTGGTGGTGTTCTAGCTCTTGGCCACCGAGAGAAATTGCAATCGCTTGTATAATTCCCCGTTCGTTGGAAAAGCGATTACGGGTGTTCGGTAATTAGAAAAATGGAGTAAACGATTGCAGCCAACTTCGCTCGACGATAATCGAACGCCTTTCAATGTTCAATTTAAAAATGTCTTTAATTAAATCGCAACGGCGTTTTAATCGGTCCTCGCGGACTGGTTTGGTTCGAATCCTTTGCTACCGGGGGGCGACTCCAGTCACTTATCGTTAGTTGTTGGTTGTTCATCAACAGAACGACTACAGTCGTTCCGCGAAATCGTCCCATGCGATAACAGAACTCAGTCGTATATCCTCGGAACAATGTAACACGCCGCCGTGTTTTGGAACGGAATAAAGAGGCTGCTACAATTATCATTTAACTGTATCTGCTTAATCGCCATTTCTCTGCGCCAAGAACAATGCCTTAATCGTTGTTTGGCATCATTAAATCTTTAACCTGTCTCTTGTAGCCGACCGGTAGAACCAGAAAGATGGCGGACAGAACGTTACTGAATTCAAAGAAACGCGAAAAGAACGGTGGATTAATATTAGATCCATACTAGGGTTAGAATCGTTTGGTGCAATTTAAGTTACGGTAAAATATAATAATTACTACTTGTAAAGGAGGTTAAGAACGAAACGGTCGAAACTTGAAAATCAGACTAGTGTCATGATTATTTAAATTGTTCCGCTAGAGGGCCACGCGATGCGCAGCGAGTGCCCCATCTGTGTACGCAGTAGCTAGATAACGGTCGCGACGCCAACACGTGCGGAATAATAGGTTGCAATGTGATTTCAGGTCGCCTGTGATCGTTAAATAAAGTCATCTTTCGTAAATAGCTTGTAGAAATAAATATGAATAATGAACAAATAAAACCTGGTAATTTTTAAGTAAGAAAATAAACGCCTAGGTTGATCGTACGAAAGCAATAAACGCGGTGCGTTTCGATGGACGGATTTCAGTCGTACGCCGTAGGAAATGCTCGAGAAATTATAATAAACGCGCGAACGGTAATTGTAAGTTACCACGCGTCGGAATTAAGTGTAAAACGAACTGTTCCTTGCTCCTGATGACCAGCCTGCATCCTGTTTGGTTATGATTCGAGAACACAGTCGATGCATCGTCGCTCGTCCGAGCACAAAGCGTGAGAGCCGGGGTCTCTCGTGTCTCAAATCGATTTATCAGGCGGCGTTCGACGCGCTAAAATGCTTAACCCCGGAATACCGACGGGTTCAGCAAACGAATGCGTTCTCGCGCTAATAGATAATGTGTCTCTTCTGTTCCTTTATCGCGGCTGGAAGTGTTGGATTTATAGACATGCACGAACCTTTTTTTCCCCCCGCGATAGCCGGTGAGTTATTAGCAACCCGAATGATCGTCCATCGCGATCCGTTTCCACAGGATTCGGTGTCCCGGACGCGAAGAGGTTAGGTCGATTATAATCTCCAAAAGGCAGCGGACATTCTTCCACGCAGAAAGTCGATGAAAAAAATTCAAAGCAATTATTTAAATGCCAAAAAAAAAACGCTTCGAGTGCATTTCATTAACCCTTCGACTGGGGCGCCATCTAACCCAGAATTGTCAGTTTCACGCGTTCGGAAACTAGATCAGATTTTTCATCGAATCCAGATTCTCGTTTCCGTTTTTGCAACGTTCGAGTAACCGGTTCTTTTATATTATTGGGAAAAAGCTTTGCGTGCATTTCATTAACACTTCGACTGGGGCGCCACCTAACCCAGAATTGTCAGTTTCACGCGTTCGGAAACTGGATCAGATTTTTCATCGATTCCAGATTCTCGTTTCCGTTATTGCGACGTTCGAGTAACCGGTTCTTTTATATTATTGGGAAAAAGCTTTGAGTGCATTTCATTAACCCTTCGACTGGGGCGCCACCTAACCCAGAATTGTCAGTTTCACGCGTTCGGAAACTGGATCAGATTTTTCATCGATTCAAAACAGATTCTCGTTTCCGTTTTTGCGACGTTCGAGTAACCGGTTATTTTATATTGTTGAAAAAAAGCTTCATCGAGTGCATTTCATTAACCCTTCGACTGGGGCGCCATCTAACCCAGAACCGTCAGTTTCACGCGTTCGGAGACTAGATCAGATTTTTCATCGATTCAAAACAGATTCTCGTTTCCGTTTTTGCGACGTTCGAGTAACCGGTTCTTTTATATTATTGGGAAAAAGCTTTGAGTGCATTTCATTAACACTTCGACTGGGGCGCCACCTAACCCAGAATTGTCAGTTTCACGCGTTCGGAAACTGGATCAGATTTTTCATCGATTCCAGATTCTCGTTTCCGTTATTGCGACGTTCGAGTAACCGGTTCTTTTATATTATTGGGAAAAAGCTTTGAGTGCATTTCATTAACGCTTCGACTGGGGCGCTATCTAACCCAGAACCGTCAGTTTCACGCGTTCGGAGACTAGATCAGATTTTTCGATTCCAGATTCTCGTTTCCGTTTTTGCGTCGTTCGAGCAACCGGTTCGGGTATCGATTCGTAATTATTCGCAGCCGCGGTTTAAGAACTTCATTTAACAAGGAAGACGGATCGAAACATTCCTAAATGACGTTTAGATGTATCTTCCCGGTGAGCACGGTCGATGTAATGGATTAAAGGTCATTGAGCGAGGGCCGCGCGGCGCTGCAACTGCGAACAAATCGATCCATCACGTTGATTGGACGGCGGAATAATGCGAATTGTGCAAGAATCGTGAACGACCGATTCGTCGTTACGCTGTCCCCGTGTAAATTCATGACCACTTTCTTCCGTGATGTCGCGAACGAGGCGCGATAATTGCATCGCGTTGCACCGACAAGTTCTGGTAACTTTTTCAAGAAATCGTATAATTTTTTAATTAATCGCATTTTTCCCGAAACCTTGAAATCCTCAAACTGTATTTTAATACCAATGTTAATACGAGAAGGGTTAAAAAGCAGAGAAAGAAAAATATGTCTGAAGAATTATCGTAAATCTAATATTTAGCTTGCATAAGAGCATTGCTGCACTACTCGTTAATTAGTCGAATGAAT